GCAATGACTTATTAGATAAGTCGATTCAAATTCCCCAAGTCAACAAAATGGTTGAAGTAACCTCACTTGAAGAACTCTCACTCTCACAATTTAGCAAGGGTAATTGTAACGATATAATTGAAATTCTATTATTTAAATTGTTGATATTTACAGCCTAAGGTGGGCCCTTTATATAGGCTTTCACCGAGTGTATTCTAAATAAAATCAAAGACTAAAAATCTATCCTAATAATTATCTTATCTTTATCTAAATTTAATTAAAATGGTAATCCAAATACTAGTCTTTATCTAAATTACATTAAAATATTAATTAAAAATGCATACTTTAATTAGAATTAAAATTCTCCTCTCTTGAAGCAAAGAAGCGTTGTGACCGAATTCTCCATGTTGTCTTTATCTTGAATTTGGTCTTCAAACTTTAATTAATTGTTGTTGAAGAAGTTGAGTTGAATATGTCCCTAAAAATTATCCTAATTTAAGTAGGAAACAAATCCTATCCTTGGATAATTCCTATATGTGAAATCGGGTAGGATAGACTTTGAAGTTTCTCTTTTCCTCTTTAATTCCAACTTCTTTATCTTAATTAATTCTTGAAGAATGATTCCTCTTTGGACTCTAGGAAGCAATCGGTCTCCAACACTCTACTTGTCGCACTTCATAGTCCTAAAAGGACTCTCATAGCTGAATTGAGATGCCTGAGGACTCTCTTCACACATGGGAGGATCCCACATGTCCAGGTTCCCCTTTCCCCACATGTCCTTGCCCCACACATGAGTTAAGTTGCTCACATGCACAGTATGTGCCTGCCGTGGACCTTCCCTTAGGTCTTGATACCTTATGGCCGAATGGGCCAAAGCCTCCTTCCTTTTAGGTCAAAACTTGACCTTTTTCCTTTGCACACGATCCGCCAAGCCCATGACATACTCTTATGGTTTTAAGCCCTTTTCCTTAACGTTGGGCTGGGCTAGGAAGCCCTTTTAGATCAGAAACAAAGTCCATCATGGAGCGAGAAATGCCGGAGTCCTTCTGCGACAAGGAATCTCCCTTATCGCGGGTAGTTTCCCTTACCGGCGGATCCTACAGATGCATGTTGTGTTGGCGCACCTAGCGTGTGTGGAAGCGCTTGTGCCCTAGTTTGTGCGTGTGGGCTTCTTGGTTACGGGCGCGTGCACTGTGTGCGCAACGCTCCGTTCCCATTTGTCTTCATGCGTGCAGGCAACGTCCCCACGGGTTGCCACTTGCCCGCAGGTTCCCGATGTTTTGCGGGAATCTGTCAATTTGCGGGTTTTCTTCTTCTCGCATGTGAGCATCTCTTCCTAGGATTCTATTTGGACCTTTGGGATTAATTTTGGCCTATTCGAGACCATGTCACCAAGTTTTTTTGTGAAATTTAGTATGCAAGAATGATTTAAGAGAAGATATTCCGGCACAATCATATCCTTTAATGACAATATCATCAATATAAAAAAAATGTATATTTCAGTTGTAGATTATCTATAAAAAACTGAGTGATCACACTTATTCTTTTTCAGCCAAAATTGTAAAACTATTTCACTAAATTTGTCAAATCATACACAAGAACTTTGCTTCAAACTATACAAAAATTTCTTTAAATGACATACTTTCCTATACTCTCCTTGAACAACAAACTCAGGTAATTGCTTCATATACACTTGTTATAAGAGATCACCATAAAAGAATGCATTCTTGATATTCAAATGGTGTAAGAGCCAATTTCAAGATGCCGCGATAGAGATGAATAAATGGACAGATATAAGTTTGGCCACTAAAGAGAGGGTATCAAAATAATCCACTCCATAAGTCTGAGTATAACCTTTTGGTATAACTCTTGCTTTAAGTCTTAGAAAGAGCTATCTGTATTCATTTTGACTGAAAATCTATCAAATCCCAAATATGATTTTCATCGAAAGCATTTATTTTCTCAAGCGTTGCATTATACCAACCAGGGTGGTCCAAAGTCTTCTTAACTATCTTGAGTATGGAAATTGAATCTATAAAAGCAACTAAAGAGATAGACAAAAGAGACAGGTGACTATATAAAATAAAATTAATAGTGGGATAAATAAATTTAGAAATAGTGCACTAATCTTTACATTTGCAAAGATTAGTAAAAAGATCAAGGTCATGTGCAGTCGAATCAGATGACAAGAAAGCTGGTGCAGAACATGTATCATTTGTCTGTTATCTTCTGAAATAAACATGAAAAATTGACGGTTGTACTTGAGCTGGAGACACACCAACACCATCATTAGCTTGCTCAACTAAAGCTAGTGGCACATTATTAGGAGAAAGACTATTATCTGATTGCTTACAGGCACTCGGTGTGAACTTTTAGATGAGTCACTTATCGTCCTTCTCTTGACTTATAGAATTAGACGATGAGGAGAAGAACAGTGTATTCTCCAAAAAGACCAATCAATTAATACTACATATTTATTGAGATATTGAGAATAACACTGATATCCTTTCTTATGCGAGAATATCTCAAAAAACACACTTCAAAGTCTTTGGGTCCAACTTGATAACATTAGACTGTATATCTCGAACAGCTACCAAATGTCTTAAATTTCATCGACAATAATGACTTATCTGGAAAAAAATATTGTAAGTAACATCTTCACCAAGTACTGTAGATGACAGAAAATTAATAAAAAAACAAGATGTGAAAATAGCATCAACCATAATTGCATAGGGACTTATGTTTGGAACAAAAGACTCGAACAGTCTCAAGTAAATGTTTGTTTTTTCTTTTAGCAACTCCATTTTGAAATGATGAATTAACACAAGAAGACTGCTGAAGAATCCCTTGTTAAGTCATTTAGTTGTGACATTACCATTTCTCAATACATGTATAGAAACATTGAGTTGGATTTTGACTTCAGTACAAAAAGTACAAAAGTGAAAAAATATTTTAAACAATTTTTTTATAAAATATATACAAATCATTCGAAAAAATTTATTCATAAAGATAACGAAATATATAAATCATATTTTA